TAAAAGTTAACTATAACCGAATAAAAGGAGCCGGCCAAGAGGCCACCTTAACACCAAAAAAAAAAAAAAAAAAAAGATGAACCACTTAGGCAGGTCACACCTAGATTTTTCTTGCAGAACTTATTTTTAGGTTCTTGTTTAATAGATCAAGTAATTCTTTATTAGTACGGGCATATATAGTTCTACTAGATAGTTTAGCTACTACAAGGGTATTCTATATCGATTTAATCAATAAAAGAAGGATTGCTAAAACAAAAAAAAATAAATATAATTCTTGTTAAATTTGTATTAAATTTTATATTATATTTAAAATAGTTAGAATATTAAAATATATATCAATATATTCTATTGTAATATAGATAAAATTTTAAGATATTCTATAGAATAGATAGGCAATATAAGAAATAAGCTTCTCTAATGATTAGTAATCATTAATTTTTTAATATCAGAGTTGCAGAGTTTGCGGAGTTTGCCCACCTATTCTATAGAACATCCAAAATTTTATTAGTATTTTTTTATATATTTTTATGAGTTTATTTTATAGTGCTATAGTACTATAATACTAGAGTATTGTAACTAATTAAAATTTAAGATCAGGTATAATATGCAAATTACTCTTTGTATAACAAAAACAATAAACTTTTAAAAATTTAATTCTATCTTAAAATTTTAATTAAAAAACTAACTTTTGTATTTTAATAAAGAAAATTTTTTGTGAAATTTTAGTTTGAACTATACTTTGTTTAACCTTAATCCTAGCTTTAATCTAAATCTAATTAAGTGCTTTATTTTTGTAAAGACTAGATTGTTTTGATTTATATGTTATACCAATCTTGTGTTTACATATAGAGTAGCACTATAGTGCTATAGTTCTATACTAATATTTTTTATTTTTATTAATATTTTTCTTAAATTTTATTATATATTTTATATTATTATTGTATATTTTATCATTTTATTAAATTTATTTATATAGTTTATACAGTACAAGAATCCTTAAATTAGCAACTGAAAACTAATAATTCTTTAAACTTCTATAAAAAAATAAAAAATATAATTAAAAGAAAAAATCTTTCTATAGAAATATATAAACAAACAAGTAGAACAAATTTATAGAGTTTATTTTTTAATATAGCAAAATTTTATAATGTTTTTTACTTTTAAAGTTATTAATAAAACCAAAATTTGATCACATATATGGGGGAAGTTAATAGAAAAGAGACAAATCATTTTTAGTAAAATTTTTTTAATTTTTAAATTAAAATATCTTAACAACTATCTATTCAAATTTGATAAATTTTTTTTTTATTTTGATCTTAGAACTATAAAGAATTAAATAAAAAAAATTATTAAATTTGATTAGATAGTTGTTGAGATATTTAAGTTTAAAGTCAAGAAAACTTTTACTTAGAAAAAATTTGTCCCTTTTCTATTGACTCCTCCATATATAAAAAATATAACAAAAATTTAAAAATATAATAAAATGTAAAAAAATATAACAAAATTTTAAGATATTTGTAACTATGTTAATAACCATGTTCGTTACTTTAGATAATAATTTGGAGTCTATATTTATTCTGCAAAGGTAGGGGTAGGTAAGTCTCTTTTTATTATTGTTTTTTTGCTTTTATAGACTACAATAGACTATACTAACTTTTCTCTTTATATTATTTATTTCATGCATATTATAATAAATATATTTAACTATTTAATCATTACTTCATTTATTATATCTATTAAGGCAGTATCATTTATCACCTAATTTTTTTTTATCAGAGGCTTACCCTTCTTCTCCTCTTAATATAAAAAAAATCAGGTTCTTATATATAATTTTAACTTTTTTACCCCTTCTCTTTAAAAAATCCCCTGATTTTTGTCACATCCCTTACTAATTGATATTAAATATTCAATTCCGCATTAATCAATTAATTTCTAAGTGTATAATCATAATATGACAGGTGAAACCTGAGTTTTTTAGGGTAAAATCTGAGTTTTTTAGGTTATATTATTAATGCAGATCACTATCAAAACAATTCTAAAATAGTAACTAACTCTAACTAACCTTAATTTAATATAGATCTGCATCAATAACGTAACTAAGCCAACTCAGGTTTCACCCTGCCATATTATGATTATCAATCATGATCATATCATATAAATATGACAAGTATGACTTATATTATTTTATTTTCAACTCTAAATGTATTACTAATTTCTTCTTTATTTGTTTAGGCTACGATTGATTACTATTCTCTGCATATCATTATCACCAAAACCATTACAGCCCAATCAAATATCATAGTACAGATTTAACCTGTTATACTCTTCTCTAGCTAAACCAAAATACTTTATCTCAAGATCTTCATTCTCTACTTTCATATTGTCTGACTCATACTTTTTGATCAACTCCATAGTATTTTTCAAATTTAACAAGAGCTTCCATGTTGCTTTATAAATAGAGTAGCCTTTTTATTTGATTAAATATTGTAGCTTCTGATAATAAGTTCATTTATCAAGAACTTCCTCAACTTCAAATTTAGGTTCTGAGTTTAAATCTACAAAGAACTCAAGGGTGGCGCTAACTTATTTTTTTCTTCAAACTTGTTAAATATGTATTGTTTCAATAAGAATATATAGAACACTAGGTATACTCTCATATTTGAAGACAGGGACAGCTTGTATACTGTCATTGATACTTTTTTTTCAATTCTGTAAGGATCAATAAACTTTGGAAACAACTTTCTTGGGATTTTTTTTAAATCTGCTGCTAGTATAAGGTTTTGCGTTAAAAGCATAACCTGGTCTCTTTTTTGAATTTCTAGATCTCTATAACCTTTATCATAATATTTTGCTTGTTTTTCTTGTGCTAAAATTAGAGTGTCTCTTGCCATCCCTATTATCACTATCCAGTGTTCATACAATTCATAGGCAGTCTTGACCTTTACATTTTTTAAAATTTTTGCTACTATACTACTAGAGGTTAAGATTATTATAATTAAGTTAAAATAGGATAAACTCAGTTGATAACTATTGAGCATTATTATATGCAAATTCTGCGGCTAATAATAGCTAGTCCTAATTGTCTTGATGATAATTAACTTAAATGCATAATATATTCTATTAATCTACTTCGTTTGTTTATCTGTCTGTTTGTAGATGTGCTGCTGAAGAT